AGGGAAAGGAAGAGAGGATCTTGGGGAAAGGGGAGTTAGAAGGGGAAGGGGACTGGAGAGGAGAGGAGGGAAGGGAAACTGTAGTTGGAATGTAATATGAGAATTTTTTTTTAAAAAAGGCTCAACTACAGCATAGATAAAAGCTCTAGTCTTCTTGTTTCAGAATAGACACCACCGTATTTCTCCTTATCATTACTTAAGGAACAGGAAATAGGGATAAATTGTTATCAAGAAAAAGATCGTGAACCTGTATTAGCACTAAATGTGTGCCCTTTACTATAATAAATAGTGACAAATTTTATGTGACTTCAAATCCAATAAATATTTTTAACCCATTCTGATAAAAGAACTGCTAATTTCTGAAAATTAAAAACAATGAGATAAAGATTAACTGACCAACTTTCAAGCTTTTTTTTCTTTAATAATAAAATATTTTCCCTTCATTTCTTTAAAACAATTTTAACTGACACGGGTTTAATATCCCTTATCTGAAATGTTTAAACTCTAAAATATTTCAGATTTCAAACAATTCTGGGTTTGGGGATATCTGAGTTAATGAGTATCTTGCAGATAAGAGAAAAATCTAAATACAAAAACTACCCCATACATAGACACTGAAGGTTATTTTATATAATATTCTTGATGCACTTGTGTGGACTTTAACATTGAGGTTCTACAATGGTGCAAAAAAACTTAGATTTTGAAATATTTAGATTTCAGGTTAGATATACTCAGTTATACAACACTCTTTATCCACTTAAGATTTTTACTCTAGAATTTGCCTTTATATCATTTTTTAAAGAGTCTGTTGGAAGAAAATACCAGAAGCCCTGGGACAACCTCCAATAAGTGTAAAAAAGTAAAAAGATAATATATGTTTGCTTAAGACAGCAAACGAGCAATTGAAAAGACCTGGAACTCAAACTCACACTAAGACAGAAGTTCTAAAATCAATTGTCTTCCATAATTTAGTCCAGAATAGCATTGATTCTAACATCAAACACCAAAGATCACACTTTTAACTATACATAAACTAGGAAAGTGATACTTGATTTTTTTAAAGAAAATAAAGGCTGCTACTACCATACAAAGGTGACTTACTGACTATAAAAGCAACATAGAGCGTCTGTTCCCATTTGATTGAACATGTCATATTCAATCTAAACACCCGATTTTTATTCTTACTGTCATTCACACCTAGCTTCAAATGGTTCCACAACCGAGTCTATGCCTGTGGTTCCCTTACAGACATCTATTTTCAATTAACACAGTCACTAAGGTGCATGCTAAAAAGACTGTTCACACACTTACGTTGAATACTAAGTCACTTCACATATTTAACACTCCTTTACTACAGAATAAATAGAAAGATGTACAAGACTGTACACTTCAAGAAATCTTAAAATATGAAACTTGAAACCAAAGAAATATGAAACACAGCAACATCACCAGTTCTATCTTCTCATTAATAAGTGTAGTGTGTTCTTATCCTAAAACCTCCTTTTAAAAAAAGAACACACAGACAAGTATAATGCACAACTAGGAAAGATCAAGACCTAACTTCCACAACTGATGTGTAATTCCTTTAAAATCAAATTTCACTGTGAAATTATAAGAAAATCTAAAGCAAACTGTATTTTAAAGTTCATCCTAAAATATTCCAGAATCAGAGTTACTCAAATGGCTAGAGAAGCACAGAAGTGTAAGCAGGCACATTTATTGAGGTTCCCAGGTTCATTGCCTTCAGTTACTTTCAGGTATGTATTCACATTCCAAAATGCCCCACAAACTTTTATTCCACTAATGTAGGAAGGGGTCCTGAGCAATTGAATGAGCAAGAATGATGTTAACGACTTATGGGAGACGGGGAAACAAAAGCAAAACAGACAATGCATTGGAAGTTTCTGTACCTTTTTTTTTTTTTTTTTTTTTGGTTTTCTGAGACAGGGTTTCTCTGTGTAGCTTTGCACCTTTCCTGGAACTCACTCGGTAGACCAGGCTGGCCTCAAACTCACAGAGATCCACCTGGCTCTGCCTCCTGAGTGCTGGGATTAAAGGCGTGTGCCGCCACCACCGCCTGGCGTTTTACTCTTAACTTTCAAAGGTAAATCTTTTTTTTCTAAACTTTAGAATTTACAAAGATTTCTCTAAATGAATTTAAAAAAACAAACAAAGAAACTAGAACAAAACCTCACTGCCTCGAACCCACTAAGCTGTATGTCAGGACAGCATAGCTAATTATAAGACAAATATTCAAGTAACAATCTCAACAAATCTTTAAAGTACTGAAATACATATTCATTAGCTTATAGCATCCTAACAAATTATAAACTGTAAATTTCAAGGGTCAGCCATAAAGCACACATAATGCTCTTATAGAGGACATTAGACAGCTCAGATGGCCTGTAACTCCAGCTCCAGGTGATCTGATGCCTCTGGTCTCCTAGGGCAATGGCTTTCTAGGGCAACTGTATTCCCGTGCACACACACCCACACGGTATGTATGTATGTATGTGAAATATATATATATATATATATATATATATATTTGTATTGCCTTTCAAAAATAATGCAGTAATAAAAATGACAAGTACAACAAAATATAGGAAAAAACTACTTGTCTAAAAGAATTTGTTCTATTTGTATTATAACTCAAACTGAAACTTTGTCTTCTGTATTATCACAAAAATTTCTTAGATTATAAATGTGAATATTATATATGTCTTAAAAAATTTGTGTAGTTTAATGATTTGAGACATAAAATCACTTTCCTACAAAGCACATTATATCTTTATAACATTCCCTGTATCATGTGAATGTTAAATTCCAGATATGTTAATTCAGGTGTTACTGAGCATGGTATACTGAACCCATGAGATTCTGAGCAACATTTACTTTAGACAGGGTACTAAAGGCAACATGTTTGAAAAATAAAGTGTGGTCCTATACATCTAAAACAATTTCTAAATATCAAGTTCAGAGGTGGATCAATTCTATTCCACTTTAAATTATTTCTATGAAATAATGAGAGCACGTTTAATTACAAAAGTTAAATATATAATGTTTAAAGTTTTAGCACTAGGTATTTCATTTAGAACAGACTTTAATCTAGGATCATAAAAAAAAAAAAAAGAAGGCTGGAGAGATGGCTCAGCCGTTAAAGGCTAGACTCACAACCAAAAAAGTAAAAAGTAAAAAAAAAAAAAAAAAAAAAAAAAAAAAAAGAGAGAGAAGTACTTAGAAAAATCCTTTGGGGGGCCACATCATGCAGTGGATTAAGGCACTTGCCACTCAAACCTGTGAACTTGAGGTCCATCTCTGAACCTCATCAGGAAGAAAATCAACTCCTGAAGGTTGACCTTGGACTTTCCTGCAAGTACCTGCACTCTCTCAAACATGTAAAGTTTATTTCAAATTATTGTAAATAATTTTTAAATACTGAACACAACAACTATGGGCTCTCTGAATTTATGAGAGATAGCTATAAATGCTTTTCCAAACTAAATACGATAGCTACCATTTCTTACATAGTCTTCTATAATGTCATTTGAAATCTTAGCCATTTGAACATAGAAATCACATCTTCCCTCATTTTTTTCTACCTTGCCAACAGTCATATACTAAAATGATGAGATTACTCATCATTAAAATTTAAAATTTACACTAATTATTTGCAATCCTTCCTTAAAATTATGGTAGGTTTCCCACTAACAAAACGACACTATTGACACTTTAGGCTTAATCTGAGCCAAACAATATACCTGAATATATTCTTGGTATTAATAATCCTTACCTTATAAGGATGTTTGCATTTTACATGAGTTATTTTATAATTTTGGCATTAATGTTAAAGTCCAAGACTCTAATATGAAAAATAGCATTTAAAACATGGCCACACGCAGGAAATAAGGCATTGTTGGTATCTGGTGAAAAAAGTCATAACAACAATCGTTATGTCCTTCGTGGCAAACAGTTGCAGTTATTAAAACACTACCACGCACACGCGACAGAAATCTACCTGGACAGCACTAAGTAGACTTAATTCTGAAAGACTGCACATGGAAGTTTCTCGAACTCCTCATTGCGATGCTCCTTGAAATGAAAATCCCCAGTTACCTAAATGAGCAAATCTCCACGTGCCGGAATAGAAAGGGCGAGATGTCACCGTCCCATGTAAGCGACCTACGGTGGGTGCTTCCTGATTTTTTTTTTTTTAGACTCAATTCTGGAAGGCTAAATGGGGTGGGTTACTAGACGCCGCGATTTTCCCCGTGCCGCTGGGGTCCCCTCCGATGATTCCCCAGGAAGGCAGGCCCACCCTGCAGGAGGCCAGGAGCCTCTAGCACCCGCCCTACGACTCGGTGGTCCTCCCGCACCGGCCCCTGTCCCCCACCCACCCCCACCCCCGACGGACGGCTGCGCTGCTGCTGCTGCGTGCGTTAGCGGGCGCGTCGGGGCAGTTGGAACCCGACAGCCACTCACGCAGATGCTGCGCTCGGCGGCGGCGGCGGCGGCCCACCAGCAGCACGTTCCGAGTCCGGGCAGCGGAAAGTTCGAGGCCCGGCCCTCTAGGAACTCCGGGCAACGCAGCACAAGCGAGAGGGGCGCAACGGCGGGCGGCCCGCGGGGTCGTGTGCAGCGCGGCCAGGCG